GAGTCAAGCTATTTTCCAAAGCGCCTGGAGGCAGGACAAGAAGCAACGGGTGGAAACTAATCAAGGAGAGAAGCAATCTAGAACTAAGGAGAAACTTCCTGACAGTGAGAACAATTAACCAGTGGAACAACCTGCCTCCAGAAGCAGTGAATGCTCCAACACTGGAAGTTTTTAAGAAGAGACTGGACAGCCATTTGTCTGAAATGGTATAGGGTTTCCTATACCTGAGCAGGGGGGTTGGACTAGATGACCTTCAAGGTCCCTTCCAACTTTACTATTATTATTATTATTATTATTGCACAAGGAATAGGACTGGATAGGACTGGATGATCTTTGAGAACCCTTCCATTTTTTAAAGATTAGGGGGAAAAAATCTCTGAAATTCTCCATCATTTTTATGAAATTAAGAAAGTTTATAATTTGGAGTGGAAGGAGAAACAGGGAACAATGGCAAGAAAAATTTGAATACGTTTAAATAAAAATATAGAAATGACCTAACATCATATTAAAATGCATTGTTCTAGTCATACTTTAGTCTGTATGAATGCCCTGCTTCACTTATTGATTGTTTTAATTTGCTACAGTCATAACTGTATGTCATTCCTACATGGATCTGTGGCTATGCTTCACTCTGAATGAAAAATATGTGTGCCTTGCTTTAAATTTGTCAATCAAAACCTGTCCTACCACCTGCTGAAAAGCACATAAATCTTTTACGTAAAAAAAAGAATATTGCTTGAGTCCATTGGAAACTGAAGTAGGCATCAAAACTAAACAAAAGGGTTTATTAAAAACAGAGATGATTAACAAATGTTGGTTTTCAAATTTTTCTATTATGATACCCTAGGGCAGGGGTAGGCAACCTTGGCTCTTTTATGACTCGTGGACTTCAACTCCCAGAATTCCTGAGCCAGCATGGCCCTAGGGCAGTGATGGCGAACCTTTTAGAGACCGAGTGCCCCCAAACCGCTCCACCACCCAGCCCACCCCTGTCTCGCCCCACCCCACCTGCTCTGCCCCACCCCCACTCCACCCTCCCACAGGGCCACCCACCGCCTCCACAGCCTGCCACAGATCGCCCAGGCAGCCCTGCAACACCATAGCAGCCACGCCCTCCGCCCACGCCCCAGAGCATCATCTGTGTGCAACGAGGTGCAAGGGTGGAGTCTTGTCCCTGCTGCCCGGCTGCCATGTCCTTGGCTGCGCTGCTCCGTGCAGGCTGCACCTGGGGGTGACTCTCCTCTGGGGGGGCAGCTGGTAAGGAGAGGGCCATGGGGGAGACAGGGCTGGGGCAATGGCATGTGTGCCCACAGAGAGGGCTCTGAGTGCTACTCTGGCACACGTGCCATAGGTTCGCCACCACTGTCCTAGGGGTATACATTTTGTACACCTACTCATGGAAGATTAATTCCTTTTCTCATTGCAAGTTATAATTCTTCATATCTGCGCATATGTGAAGCACAAAAAGTATTTTAAAAGAGAGGCATGGCTCACTATGTACGCTGAGCTCGTCATCAGCTCTTATTTAGTATAAAGAAATCAATTTTATTTTCATCTCTAATCTAGCAATATTTTAAGTAATGGAATCACATTAAATCAAGTGCACATTAAGATGATTGCATTTGTGAATATTCCCCCCCCCCCAATTCTTCCTGGCAGTTCAGATTATTTGTATATCTAATTCCACATACTGACTGGCCTCTTGTCTCAGATGAAGGCATTTCCTATTACCTGCTATTTGATCTTTTTAATTGAAGGAGCTAGGAACTGTAGCTGAGACTTTGTCCATGAAAAGTGTCTGCTTTACTACTCAGTTCTGATCTTTTCACCAGTATTTGATTCTTCCTTCATATAAAATTATGTTAATTCAAAAAATAAATAATGAAAGTTTCTGTAAATCCTCAATTAGTTCTTCATGTTCATTTATTTATGGCTTCATTCTCTCTCTTATAGGGTGTGAGTAAAATATAAACTGAACATAAATGTATTTCTATCCTCAGAAGACACTTTGGATTCTCAGTGTTGACTGTGAGATTGTTTGTCATGTTTGTTAGTTCAGTTTGCACAGACCTGGAAATCAAACTTAAAGCTGTTTATAGCAGGAAGCAAAGCTATGTGGAAGCCATTAGAATTAAGTAGTGAGTGAGCCTTTTTTATGGCCCTGAGAAATTGGCATAGTATGTATGCAGCTGACGTGTTTGTTAATGATATGCCCTTGCATGTACCCTCCTTCCCATATTAATTAGTGGTAAAATGGTAATCAAACATAGATACCAGGCATGGACATACCCACATATCTTCACTGGCATCCAAATATAGTTATACATTGCAAAGGCAGTCCATGATCTCCCTGCCAATGTTTCAGAGAGGTTTAATGAAGTTGTAGATTTTTTTTTCATATCTTACAACTGGAAACACAAACCCTAAGAACATTGGCACGCAGCCTTGTTACAAAGCATTGAATTGAATTTTGTGATCAGAATGGCAAACTGAGGATTTGAGAGGAAATGGTTGGGCCTTATCACAGACCTAGGACTTTTTGAAGGTGGGCGATGCTTCACAAATCCTATTGAGAGATCCTGAATGGATGGTTCCATTTGCTCCAATCTCAATAAAGGGACTGCTGGCAAGCATGCTTTCCTTATCTTCTTCCAAAGTAGTGTTTTCCAACTCATACTCCCATTACTTGTTGTTCTTTAATTTATTCTAGGCAACTTTTTGTAAATCTACTGGTTGCTGTATGGAACTGTCAGCCTCTTCCATCCTTTTTTGTTACTGTTTGCTGCCCTCCAAGCCTCTTTGGGCAAGAAGAGGAACGTGCCTATATGAGCCCTGATTTCTATATGCTTGGTAAGCCAGGCTTCAAGCATTACACAAACTCCTTCTGTATCTCCAATAACCATCAGTTCTTTGTTCCTATCTACATATTCAGCAATTAGAGCATGAACCATAGCTGGTCACAGAGAACAAATGAAGGGTGACTGTCTATGGAGATTCTTAATGATCCAGGTCATGGTTGTCCCAAAGGTGCTTTTTCAAAAAGCAACTAGACTTTTTTTGTTTTTTCCTTGAAGATGTTTCGCTTCTCATCCAAGAAGCTTCTTCAGATCCGACTGAATGGTGGAGAACGGAAGGAATTATATTCCTTGCAATCATCTGGTAGTTAGCACTCTCTCTGAGAGTTGTTGATGCCACTTGGAGGTTTATGTGTGCCCTAAGGGTCATCTGAATAGTGCAAATGAATGTGGAACTTTCTTGGAACTGCTGAAAGGACAGTGGACTGGTGGACTGATGAAATATTGTAAACAGTGGACTGGTGGACTGATGAAACGTTGGCCCATTTATTTATTTTATTTGTAGAATTTATTGCCCCCCCCATCTTACCTAACGGTAAATCTATTTTAAAAAACCGAAACAAAAGAAATCCAGCTTGCTTTCCCCAACATGTTGGGAGGGTAAAGAATCACGGAAACTGGCCAGTTACTGAGGAGCATTAACTGCTCTTCAGATAGAACACCTGCCTAGCATTGTTATCAAAGCTGAAAATTAAATCTTAACAGACATTGTCTTAAACCAGCTTTATTCCCAGTCATTTCTGCTCAGGAGACAAGCAGCTTAAGGCCGTTGTGCAGAAAAGCTTGACAGCAAAGAAGAGGAAATACATCACCACCTCAGCAAATGGAAAAGAAAGAAAATCATGGCATCTCTTTGAAACATGATGGGACCTTGCTGACAACAAAACATTCTTTCCAGCTGCAATAGACAAGTTACGGCAGAACTAAGATCACCAGTATTCAGTTAATAGCTTTGCAGAATTAAATATTGATATTGTCTTAGCAGCTTATTTGTTCCATATGGTTAAGAGAGAATACGAAAGAGATGAAGAAATATAAGGGCATCACTAATGAGGAGAGGGATGTTTAAGAGGAACATATCTTCCAGAAGAATTTGAATATACAGGTGTGGATCTCTGTGTTACCCAAACAGTCCTGTTTCAAAAAAAAAAAAAAAGTACCATCACTGTAATCTTTTAGAGCAATGTGTCCATTTGAAAATAATTATAAATAATCTTTTAAAATCTAATATTGAGAGAGTTAGAAAGACTTCAGCACTAGGGCCCTACCTCCAATAAAGCAATAGAAGTACCGTACAACACTAATGAGAACTGCAGAAGCACAAATCTCATGTTCAATAGCGTAACTTCAAAATGGGCATAAATTGTTTTTTGAAATCAGTATTTCAAAACCAAGTGTTTGCAGTTTTTCCAAGAATATGATGGAGCTAATAAAAATACTTGCTCAGTTTTATATGCCAGCTGCTTTTTTTCCTCACAGTTATATTACTGTAAAGTGGAGAAAGGGCTCCAGACTAACTGCATCTCCTCCACAACACAACTATTGTTACCATGCTCAAATTCATTTTTTTAGTGACATATCAAGGTTGTCTGTCAGGGCCTGTACTGTTCTGATAAGAACTGATGTGATCCTAAACTGCCGTTCTAGTGAGATATTACCTTATCTTATCTTTTGATCATTTCAACAAAGTTACGGTAATCTTGAAGAATGATTTACCGTGGAAAACAAGAGTCTATTTAAAATATATTGGAGTAGTTCCAGTCACTTCTACTAAAAGGTTGTTGTTCACCCACTAAGTCGTATCCGACTCTTTGTGATCCCATGGACCACAGCATGTCAGGCTCTCCTGTCCTCTCCTTTCTCCCAGATTTTGCCCAAATTCATGTTCATTATGTTGATGACACCATCTAACCATCCCATCTTCTGCCATCCCCTTCTCCTTTTGCCTTCAATCTTTCTCAACATCTGGGTCTTTTACAATGGGTTCTCTCTTCTCATTTGGTGACCAAAGTATTTGAGCTTCAGCTTCAGTATCTGTCCTTCCAAAGAACAGTCAGAGTTGATTTCTTTTAGTATCTATTAAAAGGAACAGTCCTAATTCCTTCAAGAGAAAGAATAATGAAACATAACATACTAGTATCTTTAAAACTCTTTTTTTAACATTAGATCACTAATGACCATCTGTCAGATGTTTCTTCTTCCATATAATCCTAATTGCATGTCAGTGCAGCTAGTTACAACTGCAGAAGTGAGGCACAAGTTCAAAGGTTGCTAAGACACATATACCTAGTTTCTCTTCAATCTGAATGCAATCTCCCCCAACAGTTGCTCCAGATTAGTTATCCATCATAAACTACTAATCTATCATTTAATCAGCAAAGTAATCCTTTGCATGCCTGTAGCACCTTTCATCCAAATCACATCACAAACAGAATTAATTAATGAAATTCCTAACGTACATGGATACAATCTATGTTACAGAGATGATTACGTGGAGGAATCAGGATCCCCTGGAACTTAAAAAGGCAATTGAAAGGGAATAATTCTAAATCTCTTGGGGCAATTGAAGATACGTGTCCCAAGCATGCTTTTTTTAAGGCAATAATATGGAGAAAACTAAAACTCTTTCATAAAAATGAAACATTTATTGCAATATAATCACATTCCCATCGCTCAAATTACAATCTTTCTTTGTGGTAAAATGTCTTTTTCATCAGATGCTGATTCAGAATTTAATTTTTAGTTGAAAGTGCCAGAAAAATGAATGCCAGATTAATGGGTGATGTGAATTGTTCGGATGTCTTTTTACCCACCAATAAACCTGTACAGATCATGCCAGACTGGAACAAACTAGGAAATCTGCTAGCACATACAATACTAACCTGTAATGACAAGTCTTGAGTGAATTTCCAAACAGCTACAGGTGCATAGTTGCGAAATAACCTTAGAGATTACTGTTATGGCATACAAGTATTAGATTAGATGGTTTTCAAGTTTTTCCCAGCTCTGAACTTTATGCCAGAATGTTGTATGATGTTTACTATAAATGTTTATAAATATTAATTTAAAAAACCTTCAGTTAACAGAATATCACCTTGTTCCAATGTCTGCAACAGGAAAAATGGGAAAATCACTTACCCAATGAAGAATCTGAAGCTATTTTTTTTTAGCCAGATAACATGTTTTATATTATAAATTATTGCATATTTCTAGTTTGCAAACCTTTGTGTTTAAAATTCTGTCTATTTCCTTGACCAGTTTTCTTTGTCTTTTCAGGAACATGTTTCCTGCAAACCTTGTGGAAGCCACTTTTAAACAGGTAGGAATCTGACTCTCTCTAACTTTCAACCCTAAAAAATATTTCTTTCCAATTCATAAGAAAAAAATAGATAAGCCATATACAATTCATCAGATAAGCCACAATAACCTCTAAAATCACCAATACAGTACATGTATTATTTAGTTTAATAAAGGTGTTGAGTAAGATTTGGGGACAGGGGACTCTTCCTAATAGCCACAAATATTAAAAATTATCCCTGGAGAAAACAATTATGTTGGGAAGAGTTAGCAGTGAAAGGAAACCAGGCCGCCAAAGAACACAGTGGCTGGACACCATCAAAGCAGACGACAGCCAGAGCATAGCAAAACTCAAAGAAGCAGAGTGAGATTGGAAGATGTGGAGAGACCTGGCCCACAGAATCGCCAAGAGTTGGAAAGACTAATGGATGTTGTTGTCATCATCATCATCATTATCATCATCATAAATTCATTATTACTCTTAACAGCAAATGTTACCTACTATGAAATCTAGCAGAAAGGGGAAATACCTCCAGTAGAATTCTCAACTATTCAACGTCCCATAAGTGAAATATGGACTTGATTTTTTTTTAAAAAAATATGCAGGTTAGGTAGATTGGAGCTTTCCAAATATTGAGAATGACAACTTGTATAGTCACTTCTCATGATGAGAATGAAAATGTAAAAATGTGGGGAATGCCAAGTTGTTTATATATTAGGCATAAACTTTGCATGCAGAATGTATAGTTGTAGTATATCAGTTGTAGTATATCCAGTTGCTGTCAGGAAGATCTCATCTACAACCTTTAAAAGCTATTCCTGAGTAGTGTATAAAGCAGATTTTCTCCAACCTGGTGTTCCTCAAAGAGAGGATGCAATTTAAGGTATCTGGAAGAATTTAGTTGGAGAAAAATGGTGGTAATTAGTGTTGCCCCAACTTTCTCTCCTCTAGATATATTATCAATGCAAACCCCAATGCATTGCCAGATCTTAGTCCCATATAATGTTAACAGTAGTGATAGGAACATAAGAGTTCTGAATTGTTTGTTCTGGTGTAGAGAACAAATTGATAGCCAGAGCTCACAAATTCCCCCCTTTGGAAAAAGTCAGTATTTTCTTAATCTTTGCAATAATAAATGGCAAAGATTTCCAGACCAAAATATATGTATGCTTCCAGATGGAGGACATGTAATAACTGTTAAAGCCATTAATATGTAAATTCCATTTTCTCCAGCTTCTCTGAAATGAGACATGACAGAAAAGTGATAAGAAAAGACAGGTGGGTTTCTACATAAAACATTGCCCTGTTGGGAGATACGGTTTATCCAGAAGTACTAATTGGAGATGGGATTCTAACTTTGTTCCCATAAACAGAGCACAATGAAGTTTTCTGCCTATTCTGTCTCACTTTAGACTTCATTCTCTCATAAAAATCTATTTTTGAGGTTGGAGATCCATGAAATGTTATTGGATAAGATGTGAGGAGCTACAGTATTATTATTGTGTTGCATTCATTTACCAACTTTGAAATTTGGGTATTTAAAAATATATTTGACATGCTAACTTTATACAAATGTTTTGAATTCTGTTGGATATAGATGTTTTTCTGCAATTGGATATAGATGTTTTTCTACAATTGCATGGGTTGGAATGTTGTTTTACAATTGTATTGTTTACTTCATTCAAGATTTGCAAATATTAAAATAATTTCAAATTTCAAATGATAAGAGCAATGTTTCACAGCCTCCTGCACTTTAAGATGTGTGGACTTCAACTCCCAGAATTCCCCTGCTATCTGGAGAATTCTGGGAGTTGAAGTCCACATATTTTAACATTGCTAAGAATGAGAAATACTGCAATAGACTATCCTTCTGCACATAACCCAGATGATCTATGCTCTTTCAGTATCGAACCAAAAACATTCCAATTGTCAAAGTGAGCAAAGCAGCATCTGAAAGTATTACTCGCCGAATTATAATCTACGGGGTGCAAGATGAAAATGGATCCAACATCCAGAATTTTGCTTTGGATATTACACCACCACCAGAAGTGACTTATAAGTCAGAGCCAGGCACTAGTGAAGGCATGAATGTGTTGGGAATTGTAATATTCTCTGCTACCATGGGTAAGTTTTAATAGCATGTCAGATAAAGTTACTGCATGAAATGGACTAATCATGTGCTATCTAATGCCTTGCAGACAAGTTGAGCATCGACTTTATATATTATTTCAGTTATTTATGCTTACTGTATTTCATGAATTGAAGTCAAGGACATTTAGAAGATGCCCCATTGAAGCAGAATACTAGAGAGAAATTAATTGCTTTTTATAGAATTCCTAATGTTTTAGCTTGGAAAGCATATTTCACAGTTCTGAATATAATTTAAGGACTGTGGCTATATTTCTAGTTGTATTAAAAAAATGTTAATACTATAGGGCCCCATTTTTTTCTTCCTTTCCCTAAGCTGGAATTTTTGTTTTCTTAAACTGTGTTTTTGCTTCTTTTATTTCTGTCTGTAATTCCTAGAGTTGTTCTGAGAAACTTAAATGAAAAGGAGCAAAGCATGTTTGTGGCTCAGGTATTATTTTCAACAGCATCTATGATGAGGTCATGTATAGTTAACACAATGGATGAAAGTGTGCACTACTAAACAAAAATTGTGGCTATTTGCCTTCATTTGCTGATATATCTTCATCTAAGACTACAGGTAGTCCTTGACTTACAACTAATTGCTTAGTGACTATTTGAAGTTATAGCTAACTCAAACAAGGCAACTTACAATTCGGATTTGAAGTTCCCACGGTTGGCCCCTCTGGGGTCATGTGACTGAACTTAGGGCACTCAGCAATATGAATGCATTTATGGCCACGTGCAGGTCGTGACTGTCTTTGATGACAGTTTTGCCCAAAACTGTCATTTCTGATTTTCAACAAAATCACACCTATAGTGAACCATTGGCTTACTTAACAACCGTCACATTTGGTTTATGACTGCCACATTTGCTTAACAACTGCTGCAAAAAAGATCATAAAATTGGGGGTCAGTGATCTGACTGTTACGATGCACAACTCTAATGGCTACCTCTCTGCAAACAACAAGCCATTTGGTTCTTCAATTCTTAGCCTTATTGTTTGGAGGTACTTATGAAGAACTGAAACATTTATGTAAATTGCAAAGTATGGCAGGTTAGATAACACTCCTAACAGACATGAAAAAAAAATGGGGGACATTGTCTTGGAGTTGCCCCATTCGGTGAGTGGGTCCTGCAGAAGGGCAACAACTATGACAAAAGAAATATATAGTCTTGATAGAGGATTGCCAAGGAGGAGGTGAGAGTCAGTTTGGTATAGTGGTAAGGCATCATGCTAGAAACTGGGAGACTGTGAGTTCTAGTTCTGCCTTATCCACAAAGCTGCCTGGGTGTCCTTGGGCCAGTCACTTTCTCTCACCTCTAGAAAGAAGGCAAGGGCAAACTACTTCTTAAAAGGCTGCTGAGAAAACTGCAGGTGCCAGGAGTCAAATTGGCTTGGAGGCATGCACATTAAAAGAAAGATAGCATGTAGTCAGTAAATTAATCATGACTTTCTTTCCCTAGAACTTGTTTGTCAGGGACTACTTCCATTCAGTGACTCCAGTGATGGAGTCACTGAAGCAGTAGGCGTGAACTTAAATGGACTCCAGAAGATGGTAGAGGACAGGAAGACCTGGAGGAACGTTGTCCATGGGGTCGCGATGGGTCGGACACGACTTCGCAATTAACAACAACAGCAACAACACTTCCATTTAATCCCATTCCACTAATTCTAAATTTTAGAGATTTTTTTAATTTTAGAGTTCATATTAAAGGGGAGGACAGATCTCCTTGCCTTTCGTATGACCGGACTGGGGGCAAAGGGAACAGCTGTGGACTTTAATTATGCATTTCTGTAATTTAACCACCGTGAGTCTAACATTTTTGCCAGTTTTTGAATATCGACGTGAAACTCTAAAACATCTTTTCCAGTCTGCTCTGTCCAGCAGTTTTTAAAATGACCTCTAGAGAGCAGCCAAATGTTTGATTAGCTTAGCACCATTTATAACCAGTTTGGATTGTTTTTAGTTTGAAAGACAGGGATTTTATTCAAAATCAAGACTTAGCTAGAATGATCAAATGGGAGGGAGCCACTTCTTCTCAACAGGGACATCTCAAGGTATTTAATTATACATTAGAATATTTTGAGTGATCATGTAGCAGTTCTATCTGCAGAGATGTCACTTTAGCCTTTTCAGCTAGAGATGCGTTGAGATTCCAGACAGCTGCTCCATTTCTATGATGTGAATCGATAGACTCAATCAAATTTGTGCCTAAAGACAGGACAAATGCCTGAAAACAGGACAAAGATTTTCAAGGGATATTTAAAGTGAATAAATAGGCTTAGCAGAGCTTTTGTACAGTTTGTCCTCATTTAGTAACCACAATTGGGACCAATGACTCAGTTATTAAGCAAAGCATTCCCTAAGTGAAACACCATGTGCTTATGATTTTAGTTCGATTTCTTTTGTTTTACAGACCAGCAAAGGTTGTAAATGCAAGGATTGCTTGTAAATTTACTTTTTCATCACTGTCGCAACTGTTAACGGTCGCTAAGCGAGGCAGTCACTAAATGACAACTGCCTGTATTTAATGAACAAAGTGGTTCAGGGTTCTTTTACATCTGTAATTTTTAAGAAGTCTAGCATTGTAGCACCACTCCATACTGTTGAAAGAACCTGTCTTCCTTTTATATGTGGTAGCTATGAGGTGTTTTCCCCCCTCCCCTTCCCCTCTAAACCTCTATTCCCCAAGAAAACATTCTTGACAGGATGGGAGTCAAAATGTCATGTCAGTGAAATTTAACTCATGCAGGTTTCAATGTTTTACACAGTTATTTTATAGCCCGGCAAAATTTATGTAAAAACCTTATAGGCTCATCTTAGTCCAACATTCTGTTATAGTGGCCAACAAAGTTACTCTGGAATTCTGGCAAGACATAGCCCTCTTCTATCTTGTTCCCCTGAAATGGTACTTGGAAGAAAACTGCCCCCAGTCCAGAGATAACTGTGGCTTTTCAAGGGCAATAACTTTGATTGGTCTCTATGAGACTAGTTTTCATTGCTAGGATCCACCTTCCACAATATACCTTTTGCCAAATTTGTCTCAAGTACCCATGAATTAGAGTGATGCAGCAAATCCCTCTGGTGAGGTGCCTAGTAGGCTTCGTTGTGAAGTGGTTGATCACTGGGAGAACAGGCTGCTGGATTAGAGATCTGATCTAGCAGGGATCAATGCTCACCGTTATGACACGTAATGGTGGAGCTTGTATTGTTCATAATATGTAATCCTTAGCATACCTTACTTAGAAATGTGACTCATTACCAGCCATTCAACTCATCTGGTAATTCAAATTTCAGATAAATTTCCAGATTGCAATGAAGATCTTTTCTCAAGGGTAAGCCAAAGTGCTCTCCTTGCACCCTTGAGCAAGGAACAAATAAACTAGAATGGAATTTAATGTTCCCATTGCCAATCCCTTATTTGCCCCATGTCTCTGTTCTCAGTCACTGTTGCTCACCTAATTTCTTTCCCTAGTAACAAGTATTAATTGATTTTATACTCAAGGCTGCTCTTAAATGGTATCAGAATAGGAGTAATGTTACTTCAACACAAATATAACCAAGATTCATTTTAAGCCTGTCTCATTCGTGGGCAAGAGGTGAGATAAATAGATTATGGGAATAGAGCAGGAAAAAAAACCTCGCTAGGGCATGTTTTTATCATGGTTACGTACAAGTGAGGAAAGGCTCAAACTATATTATATAAGTTTAGATGAAAATAAACAACTAAGACATTTATGTATTTTATAGGTATAATGCTGGGCAGAATGGGTACCAGTGGAGTTCCCTTGGTCAGTTTTTGCCAGTGTTTAAACGAATCAGTCATGAAGATAGTGGCTGTGACTGTATGGTAAGTAAATGTCAGAAGAAATAAATATTAACAAGTAAAAGTATGTAATCAGCAATGAAATCAGCTTACATAAACTGGGTTGATGAGTAATCTAAATAACATATAGAAGGTTGTATGCATTCTCCTTTTAAAAATATATTTGTAAACATTGGCTTGCAGGATGTTTTCAGGCAGAAATCAAATTCCACATGAATATTGTCTGGATATTTCTTGTACCCCACTGCATGAGATTGCAATAGGCTGTGGTTCTGTCTACACTAAGAGCAACACTCTCTGCATCCAAGAAAGAAATCGAAATTAGGGTTCCTTAGCGTAGTGTTTCAAAACCATTTCTTCCTAACCAATCTACAAGGGCTGAATTCCTACCACAAGGACATACAGTACACACCTATAGCACTTCTGTCAAAAGGGAGATTCCTCTGCATGGCTGGAGAGGCCAAATTGTGTTGCAAAAGTATTTTGCAGAATAATACCTGTTTTGTCTTGCAGTGATATCTGTGGTACTTCAAGGATGCATTTATTTATTGCATTTCTATTTCTTGTTCCATTTGAGAGCCGGGGTAATGTACAGGGAATTCTCTATATTTTTATCCTTATAATAACAACTCTGTAGGGAAGATTGGGCCGAGGGAATAGAGCTGGGCAAAGTCATTCAGCAAGCACTTTGGTCAGATGGAGATTTGAGCCTAGGTCTCTGTAATCCAGCTGCAATACTTTCACCAAAATGTATTGCACTTTGCCATGTTTCCATTCGGGTTTTTTTTTTCTATCTATTTTTATATGGATTTATTCTTCGCATAGAATATCTCTTTATTCTTTCTTAGGTATTTTCCATTTGGAATAGTATTTCTTATTGCTGGTAAGATTTTGGAAATGGATGATCCCTCAGCCATCGGGAAGAAACTAGGTTTTTATGCTGTTACTGTACTTTGTGGACTAGTTGTTCATGGACTTGTTATTCTGCCAATGATGTATTTCTTCATCACCAAGAAGAACCCCATTGTCTTTATCAGAGGCATTCTTCAAGCACTGCTTATTGCCCTGGCCACATCATCCAGGTACATGATGCAATGATTAAAGTTGTGGAGCAATGCTCTCTTAATTTACAAGAAAAAAAGATGTTTCTCTCAAGTCAAGTTTCAATTCTAGGGATATCATGGTCACACTCATGCAATTTTCTTAGCATTAACATGGCAGTAATTTGCCACTGCATTGTTACAATGGGTTGTTTCAATTCCTGGTCTAGCCAATAGCCCTACAATTTGTTGGGGGCTACTAATCCTGGCCCAACATTACTTGTTCATGATTAGCAAAGATCAGTTAGGTGCTGCCAGTTGGTGCAAATTTTTAAAAATCCATTATCATAACAAACTTGGAATACTTTTTTTTCTGGATTTAATCCTTCCAATTTGTATCCCTTAGACAAGTGGTCCCCAACCTTTCCAGCTTGGCGGACCAGCGGGGGGGGGGGAAGGGGATGGTTCTGTATGAGCGGCAGCTGCGCATACGTGCAGACGCGCAGCTCCATTTGTGCAAGCGGTGGGCATGCACACTCACCATTCGTGCAAATGGAGTTGCCTATGCATGCGCCATTCATGCAAGTGGAGCTGTGCACATGCTTGCCTGCCACTTGCATGACCCTGGTACAAGGCCGCAGCCCGGGAGTTGGGGATGCCTGCCTTAGACCTAATCCCAAAGCTCCTAAATTCTAACATTTCCACCGTATGATTCTGAATTCTGTTTATACTGTATTATTATATGGTAAAATGTGAGATAAGATATAGCCTGTAATAAAGAATCCAGCTGGCCCAGAAAAAAATTGGGAGACAGATGAGTCACTGCAAAATTACTGCAGGAAAGGTAGAAAAATGCTACCAAATACTACATACCCCTAATATTCAGCAATATTCCAAAATCTCATCATTTGCTGTTTGACATTGATCTGCAGGTTAAGTACTTTCCGGATAGAATTATTTTGTATCTATTCTTATTTGGGTTTTACACTGCATGAAACAAGCTGATTTTTCGGACTTAGAAATATAGTTGATGCCACCAAGAGACATAATTATTTTGATAAGATCTTCCACTATGTAAGTGCTTAATCCTACCACATAGTATTTTAAAAGGACTCACTTGACAAGTCCATTATCTAGTTCTATTTCAATGTGGGTTGCAAATCAAATTAGGTGCCTTGATGATATTTTGAGAAAATTGCATATGGAGAAAGTTGGAGAAAGCCCATCTTTTTGGCACTCTTAATGCATTAGTATGCAAATTTTGATGAGCCAAAGATACCATCGTCTACTGAACACAATTTCAGATCCTGTATTGACATCAGTGAGAGGCCACTTATATTTTGAAAAATGGATGAGGACTAGAAACCAAAATGAAATCTTTCTTATATGCACATTTATAATTATTCCCATTCCTTCGTATTTTATTTGATACGGCAGCGGGGGGGGGGGGGAGATCCAAAACACGTTATATACTTGTACAAATATAATTTTCAGGTATTGGGACAAAGCAATAGAAGAAAACAAAGAGATAGGATCAATGTTGGGAGGATAATTCATTAGTGACAAGAAACTCTGGAAAGTATAATTAGACATTTCCACCATACATTCTGATGGGTCATAGCTTGTGAACCTGTTTTCCTTACATAATATAATTCATTTATAATAGTGGCGAATATCTCTGGTTTGGGTTTAGGATGAGGGTGAAGGTTCGTTCTCCGAACTTGTGGGTTGGCTTCCAAACATTTCATTACTAGGCTAGGTAACAGCTTCAGCTGAGTTTAGTGGATGTCAATGTCAGTGTTCTTCTGTTTATAAGAGCTTTACCGTCACCTGAAGCCCTTATAAGCAGAAGACCACTGACACAGACATTCCTTAAATGCCACTGAAGATGTTATCTATCCTGGTAACGAAATGTTTGGAAACCAACCCACATGCTCGGGGAACGAACCTTTGCCCTCATAATACAATTCCTTTTTTTATAGCTTTATTATTTTCAGCTAAAATACTGAATGAATCAGGACATTTATGTATTAGTTTTTGCCCAATAACACAGTGCAAATAACTTAATTTTGCCTTACATTTACTTGTGTAAGCAATTTTCTAAACTACATTTTTGTGCTAACTTCAGTCAAAACTTTGCTGGCTGAGGAATTCTGGGAGTTGAAGTCCACAAGTCTTAAAGTTGCCAAGGTTGAGGACCCCTGGTCTAAACTACCCCCTCCCTTCCCCCCCCTTTTCCCCCTTTTTTCTTTTTGCAGTTCAGCCACTTTGCCTATAACTTTCAAGTGCTTATTAGAGAATAATCATGTGGACCGGAGGGTTGCTAGGTTTGTGCTCCCAGTAGGGGCTACAATCAACATGGATGGAACAGCTCTATATGAAGCAGTTGCAGCTATTTTCATTGCCCAAGTAAACAACTATGAACTGGATTTTGGACAGATCATCACCATAAGGTAAAATCCATAGGCTTCTGCAGGAAAAACAATGTCCTGGACTTCGGTGTTTGATGGCAGCGTCCAGCACAGTAGATAATAAGCTAAAGTTGTATGAAATTATTTTCAGTACTAATAAAATGTACAATACATATTAACAGTGCAGATGAAAAATCTTATACATCATAGTCTTATGCTTGCTGATTAAAAATATGTCAGCAGTTCCTGGAGAAAGGAAATGGCCAGTCACCAAATGGATTGAGTGTACTTGATCTGCTGTGGACATGTGCTTGCTTTGGTGGTTGCTAGGCATTTCTCTCCCTGACCATGTCAGCAATGACACAATTTGGAAGCAAATGGGCATCATGCCAATATCAGAGAAAATGCAGGAAAAACATTTACAGCCATGTTCCACAAGCAACACCTCATGCTGTCGCCTACATCACCTCTCCATTTTAATGTAGACGGCAAGCGCCCACATGGAAGACTGAAGCAAAGATGGCAAGACAATACATGCAGACCTGAAAAATGCCCAGTTGGACACAGATGCTGTGTTTGGTCCTGCAAGATAGCACTCATTGACCAAAAATCAGACCCTGGTGGAAATACTCTATAGTGATGATGATGATGATAATGATGATGATGATGATGATGATGATGATGATGATGATGATAGTGTGCAGTTCCTGAAGAAAATAAATCCCTTCACTTCCATTCCACCTCACACAAAAAAGAAATAATGAAAATCTCTAACACTCATCCATTCACAAGGCAGTTATCCAAAATATCTACTTGATGTGTTGTCTGCACTCTAAGGAATTAGACAGAGCTCTCTGGTTGCATTTGAAAGTAGAATCAGAAGAGTGGTGCATTCTTTTCTGGCTGTATGTAAAACAAATGTGAATCCCCTTTTCCTTAATCTGTAAACAGAAGTCTACAACAGTTGAATATTACTTCAGGCAACAATTGCTCCCAGTGGAAGACATTTTGTCTTGAATCTCTGCTGCATTTCCCCATCACAAATGGGAAGGCTGTTTTTATTGATCATTTGCATACAATAGGAACCCGATACTCCAAAACTGATTCTGGAACTGCATATAAATGATTCTTTTCTTTTAATTGGCGCTCCTTCCTGTAAATAAAACTTGCTTCTCCAGCTGAAGGGAAAATTGTCAGCAAGACTGATAAGGAATTTCCTGGAAATACATTTTTGGAAAAGTTGTTCTCTCAACAGATGTCAGAGAAATTAAAGCCTCCCAGTACTGCAATTTCACTGCTTTTTAAAGATCTGTAGTTTTATTGTGGGAAACATATCCACAGCTTCTCTTCAATTGTTTAAATATTAGTGGATGGTACTAGTTTATTGAGCTGTCTACTTATTTTACCAAAGGATTTTAAGAATGCCACCTTATTCATTTCTTTGGATTTCTAGCCAGATGGGGATATTGTAACATATAATTCAATCCCTTTTCCTTTTGTGCTGCATCTGTTCCTTCTGAATATCTTCTATGTTTCAATTATTATAGTCCATCTCTGAAAATCATCCCACCAAATCTCAGTTCAAACTTTGAATCTTATTTGTTTTCCTGTAATGGGACCTCAAACTCATTTTGTTTATTTTTCATTCTCTGAGTATTAATACATAAATAAGGGAAGACATGAACTTTACAAATAAAATTTCTTCCTGAGTTTTTATTGTACAATTTAAGAGGTGCCAAAGTAATTAAAGAAGGAAACTCTGTACATGTTACACAACATATTCTTCGTATTTTTATTACTTAGCATTTACCAGCATTGAATCCTGGTACCATGACCAATTTTTTGAGCCAATGATGCCTGTTGTTGTATTAGGCTCTGGACATTTCAGATGCTTCAGAGGTTGAACTGAGCAACTAAGGAATGTAGAATTTAAACAATCTTTTTTCTTTTCTAAATATTCTTTTAGCTTTCTTTGCTTTTGTAAATACTAAAAAAAAGAGGGGGAAGAGCAGATCCATCTGGAGAATATTTACTAGCAATATTATACTGCTTAGCATAAAACATTAAGCCAGTTGTGATATGTACAGACTTGTCAGGTTTCCATAAAGCAGTATTATCAGATCAAAACAAAACAAAACTCTTTCGCAAAATGTCTAAGTATGCAACTGCATTGTTGCTGGATTAGACATACTGTTACTTTATCCCAATCCAGCCTATTCAGCTTTATATTAATCCGTGCTTATGTAGCTATGATTTCAATTCTGCCCCATATTGGGATTTATTGCTGGGAGCAGGGAAATTCCTGCTATTAGATCAAGTGTGATGATTGCCTTGTTCTTTACTGAACAGCATATTAAAGAAGACTTGAACTACTTACTATGCACAGATCAAATAGTTGAATACTGTACAGTCTAACAGCCTTTGGTAAGTCACAATATATACCGTAGCTGGTGGTTATATCACCTTGATCACACAGATGTTGCACTTGGGTATGACAAGAATTTAGTGAAAGATCAAGATTCAGTTCTATCTCTGCAACAGCCTTCAAAATAATAATTTCATTCATTCCAATAATTGAATTATTTCATATGCAATATCTTTAAAGCCTGTTCGATCTCAAAGATTTTAAGAGAATTGTAATCATACTGAAGTCTGCAATCCAATCCAATGTTAAGTAACTAAAGCCCATTTATTTTAGTGGGATTTAGGAGTGCTTAATTCTGCTGGATTATGGCTCATGAATATGATTGTTTCTCCTGCCATCTACAGAGACCTATTTTTTGAACTGCTTGCCACCTCTAGAAGACAAATACCATCCTGGGCAATTGCATCCTGATGATTTGACCATTTCCATAAATTTTCAGCAAACTGACAAAAAGTTGAATTTAGGCAGTCAAACTATTGTTTGGATTCACTTAAAATGGATAAACAGCAGCCAGTGTGTAGAATCTTGGGACGGGAAATATATGTGGGTGTATATGTGTTCATAACACCACTCCCTTCTTATAATGATCTGCATTTGAAGAGCAAGAGATAAAATTATGGTTACTATAAAATTGTAATCCATTGGTTCTATTGGAGGTGGTTTTCCTCTGTGATACTGCATTTGGGAAAAGTTCCTGCTGATGCAGAGAAAAATTCTCTCAAAAGGCAAGTACTAGTTTAAGAAAGAAAGATGGTGGCAGAATAGAAAACTTCTCTTCAGCTTCATGGTTCCCAAATCCCTCAGTCTATTCTACAAAACATGCATATAAACTAGTGTGATAAAATTAAGGACACATTTACTTTATCCTAATCTTACAGCGGGTGGCAGATGCCTTTAAATTTCTCCCTGTGAAATGTCAATCTTGTTGCTTTTTCCTTGATTTTATTTCCCATGATCCCAAACAATGAAATAACATCCCAGGTCCAACTCTACTAGTGAGACTCTGGCTTCACGCAATAGTTGGACTTACTCACATTGGGCAGTCCTGTGTTTTATTTACCTTGTTCAGGGATATTCTATGCAGCTGAATTCAGGGTAAAACGCATTTGATCCTGATGCCAAGTATATTAGTCCGTATTAACGATCAAGTTATCCAGATTTGGATGCTCTTCTGTGTTACATCATTATGATCTTTCTGCTTGTTTGTAAAAGCATTACGGCAACAGCTGCCAGCATAGGAGCTGCTGGAATCCCACAGGCTGGCCTTGTGACCATGGTCATTGTTTTAACATCAGTGGGGCTGCCTACAGATGACATCACGCTAATAATTGCAGTTGATTGGGCTCTGTAAGTAGCGCAAAGTTTTTCTTTTCTTTGCATTTTTCTAATTAGGTGTATAAGGATTGAGTGGGTTGAGTTTAAAGGGAGCTACCACTCACTTTGATGTTGATACTGTTGTTGTTGTTGAGTACATGGTCATGTCAAGGGGTAGCACAGCTCTCTCAGGGTTTTACTTTCTGTTTGTCTCAGTTTTTTATCTGCAATAAATGAAAATATAAGAATTATCCTTCCAGATTCAACCCCAAAGTTATCTTGTTCAGAGTACAGGTAGTTCTTGATTTACAACTTGGTCGCTTAGTGACTGTTCATTTTTTCATTTCATTTT